AATATCCACAGAACTGTTAATAGTGATTTCTGTGATTTTGCAAATAGTTTCTAATATAAAAATATCAGCACAATGTAACAGCGCTGGGCAACGATTAATCGCGATTAATCGCATCCATAATAAAAGTTTGTGTTTACATAATACATATAATTATTTTTTATATAAAAATAGAACACATGCATGTATATATTTAAGAAAAAAATGTTATTTAGATATAAAATATTAATATTTAAATATAATATAAATTTTGTATAAATAAATATACATACAATTTATACATGCACATATTTCTTAAATATATACATAAATGTGTTTTTATTTAAATGTACAAAATAATTATACGTAGTACACACATGTATTATATAAACACAAACTTGTATTTTTGATGCGATTAATTGCAATTAATCGCGATTAATCGTTGCCCAGCACTAGTAACATACTTGCTCTGGCTATGGTTTTGGATAAAGAGATGTGCTTGTTATTGTCGTTTGTTATTGTTGTGCAAGGAGAATGTGACGGTTGGTCGGCGTGGTATTTGTCCCGCCCCTCCTCCACAGTGATTGGACGGCTGGGTAATGGGCGCTGCGTTTTACCCAAAGTAAAACATGAAAGAGTGCTTTGTCACGCTGCTGGCGTTCCCATTTAAAACAATTGGGAAAATATGCTAGCCTCTGGAAAAAAAAAAAACACTTTGATGGACACACGGCGTAATTGATAAGAGAATTTACATTTTTGAGTGAACTGTCCCTTTAAGGGAATTTCTCCTGATGAATGTGTTCTTCTTCTCTTCTGGAACATTTACTCAGAAGTAATTAACAGAGATTATCACAAAGCAGCTTGATCCAGCTAATAAGCATTTGAAAATAACGCTCTCAAAGAAATGACTTTCTTCTCAGGCCGCTGATTCAAGCACATCAAATCATCGCATATCTCAAATGCGGGCCAGAGGTCTTTATGTGGTTTTTGTCCAGCTCTTCTCAAATAGCCAAGCATATCAGTTTGAAACAGAGTCTGATCCGATCGTGGCACCTTAAACTTGAGGTATATCTAATTTCTTAGTGCAGGCCAGGAGCATTTTAGCCAGAGATGAGAGATGTGGGATAAATGCCAACGCAGTTACTGGACTATGAATTCCCTTGACCAATGAAGTCATCCATGATATCATATGTGCTTCGCCATGGATTGATTTGAGAAAACATTTGGTAATGCAAGTAGAGCCCGACCTCTCTGATGGGAGTTTTAGATTAGCCTTTATGGTAAAATAGAAATGTGCTACATCCCTAATACTATATCCCCTCAAAGTATGTACTCTTTTGAGAAGAAAAAGTAGATACTTTTGAGTTTGTACCATCTATCTATTATCATTTTAGTCATATGCTACTTTTGGTGATTTTATGGCCATTTCTCACCATACGTGACGTGAGAGGCCATGGACTTTTTTGGCAATGTTTTTTTCTGGAGTAGTTTGCCAGGTCTTTCCCAACCCTCCCCATGGTTTGGGACTCATACACACACATGCATTTACACCATTTCCAATCCATCTTACCTGCTTGTCTTTTGACTGTGTGAGGGAAACCGGAGCGCCAGGAGGAAACCCACGCTGACACGGGGAAAGATGCAAACTCCACATCATGTGACGCCGTTGACTAGTCTCAGCCTCAAACGCCAGCCCACGTACCGCTGGCCGAATGTCTGATGCAGATGGCACACTGAATTGGAAACACTTCAGGATTTTCAAAGTCATCATCTGATTGGTTGGATTCTACAGGATGTCTTGGAGACGTGTGTGTTGCGTTTTTTACGGTTCACCTGGAAACAAAGATGCCACACCCACTCATGGAACAAGAACAGCATTGTGTTTACAACTGTGACAATGCGCTTGCAGAATCAACCAAACGCTGGGAAGTGTGTGAAGTATGTGGCATAGACTCGTTGAAACACGTACAAGGGTTTTACACGCCGGCCTGTTATTGTAGGGACATCGATGTTACACACTGTAAAACAAATATTGTTGGTTTAACTTAAAAAAAATAAAGTAACCTGGATAGTTCACGTTGAAATTAATTTTTGGTATGTTTTAGCTTACTTCAAGGGCATCCAAGATGGAGGTGTCTTTGTTTCCGCAGTATTTTCAATTTTGATATTTTTCGATCAAACCGTAATGCAGGTTTAGGGGGTCCACCCTTGGTCCACCAAAAAGCATGCACAGAGAAGTCCAAATTAAACATGATTTAATGACTCGTAAATGTAAGTACACATTGATGGCCTAAGACACGAAACGAGCGGTTTGTGTGAGAAAACGAACAGTATTTATATAGTTTTTACCTCGTGTAAACACAGCCACGTCCAAGTGATCTGACGGCACGGGTGCCTCGGTCTGCGCATGCGCCGGAAGTGATCGTCACTCATTGTTTACACCGAAATTTCTGAAGTTTTACCTTCCGTAAGCTAAAACATATCAAAAATAAATTTTAAAGTGAACTATCCCTTTAAAAGTTTAAGTTCATTAAAATGGAAAAATTGAGTTAATACAATGGAGATTGATTTAATCATCAGAAACTCAAAATATTATGTTATATGAACTACATAAATTATTTAAGTTGATTTGACAAAAGAAAAAATGTTGGGTAACGCTTCCTTTTACAGTCCAGTGACCCATGTAAATACTATGTACTTATTTTAATAACTACAATTACTGGGTAATAACTAGTACTAACCCTGAACCTACCCCTAAACCTACCCCTGTTCCATGTACTTACCTTATATTAGCCATTACTTTCTAGGTAAGTACACTGTAAGTACTGTACTGTAAAAGGAAGCGTTACCAAATGTTGTGATTACAAATCATGAAAATATTTTTTTACCGTGCATTTTCACGCCCCTAAACATGGCGCGGGACAAAACAAACTGTGATTGGTTACTTTACACATCAGTTAGACAACCTCTGGGTCCAGACCTTCTGCTGTTAGTCTTAAGGTCTGGCCAAAACAAACTGTGATTGGTTACTTTACATATCAGTTAAGCCAAGTTCACACTACAGGATTTTAAGCCCGATTTATGCCCGATTAGCAAATCGTTGAGCTCGCCGACAGGTCAGGGTGTTCTCGGGTGCAAATCGCGGGGGATTAGCGGACGATGAACGCTCGCCAATCTGTTAGTATGAAAGAGCCAACAACGCAGCGAAAACGCTCGCAGACGCGTCGCCGAGCCCAGAAAAATATCTAGCCTGCTAGATATCCAGAGCCGTCACACGACTCAACCTCAGTGATGTCATGAGTACAGCCAATCATAGCAACGCATGGGTTGAGGACACCAGGTAAATCTTAGTTTATCTTTTCTTTTTTGCTTTTTTTTCTCAGAGCAGATCGTCGCGCAAACACTTGTGCCGCAACAGTATTTCTGTCTGACTTCCACATTCGCGTGTTGTTCTTCTCTGCAGTTTCGCGTCATTTCTGGTTTGTTTTATTGCGTGGTTTTTCGTGACAAAACATGGTTTGTAGACCAGAGAGAATCGTTGGTTGACAGAATTGTTGTCAACTCGTTATTTATTTGATTATTTTCAGGATTTAGACCGTACTGAAACAGCTCTCATTGAGTCACAAATGATTTGCCCTTATCATCCGATCGTGGTTGTATCTCTATGTAGTGCGTTGTCAACTTGTGTAGTGAGTTACCTCCTGTTGTGGATCAATCACGTTGTGTTGTGTGGTGTGAACAGCTAAACAACTTGAACACTCCTGATTTCACTGAGAGCAAGTCATGTAGTGTGAACCGCACAGTTCAGCCCGACGTTTTAAAATCATGTAGTGTGAACAAGGCTTTAGACAACCTCTGGGTCCAGACCTCTGCTGTTATGGCGCTTTTCCACTGCATAGTACGATACGGTTCGGTTCGGTACGGCTCACTTGTGGTGCTTTTCCACTGCATGGTACGGTACAGTACGGTTCGCTTCAGGTCGCTTTAAATGGTACCTGGTCTGTTGAGGTTCCAAGCGTACCGTACCGGTACTAAAATGTGACGTGAAACACTGCAGATCACTGATTGGTCAGACAGAATCGTCACTACCAGCGTCACTACTAGCGTCATTGGATTTGCGACACGAGACACTTTTTTAGCAGTATTTTTGTTTTGCTGCCATCAGCCTCATTTTAAACACATTTTTCCATCTAGCAGTTAAAAACAACCACATACCGAGAATCAGGAACACCATCCCCTCGATAGTCTCCATTGTTCCTGTGTTGTGGGTTTGAAAATGTGGCGCTTTTAAGATGATGTCATGGCAGTAGAGACGCGCGCAAATAACGATCAGTCCCACACACTTTGAAGGGGTACTACTGCAGTGGAAACGCAAAGCGAGCCGAACTGTTCCGCGCCGAGTCGAAGCGTACTGGGCCGAACCGTACCGTACTATGTAGTGGAAAAGCGCCTATAGTCTTAAGGTCTGGCTATCCACGGGAATTCGTACGAATTTTACGAGGTGGCTAACTCGTAACAATTCATACGACCTCACTCGTACGAATTAGTACGATTTTGCTAAATCGTACATATTTTACGAATTGGCCAATATGAATTCGTACGAATGACCTACCCCTTACCCCGCCCCTAAACCTAACCATCACATGGGTTTAGACAAATCGTATGAATTGGTACGAGTGAGGTCGAATTAGCCACTTTTTAATCACTCATACGAATTCGTACGAATTGGTCGTGAGATAGGGTAGATATCACATCATAAAATTTGCATACACGCATTCTGTCACTGTAATCCAGCCTGTCAATCATTCAGTCACCGTTAACATCCATATATAGTACACTCTACATATTTAATTAATATTACACTACAAAAATATCTATCTATCTATCTATCTATCAGCAAATAAGCATTCATTACTTCCCTGAATTGGAAACTGTAGAAGCATTTTCCCCTCACAGCATCAGCAACTTTTACACACACACAAACCAGTAGGCAGGGAGAGAGAGAGAGGAGGGGTGAGTGAAGGAGAAGACACACTGCGGAGTTCAGCAGAGGAGAAATGAAGAGAGCTGGAGACAGAGACCAAACCGACATCAGAGCTGTGAACACACAGGAGCTCATGCAGACACGCCGCCTTTGAGTTCAACTCCACGTCTCTCACACTACTCGCTCTGCCGTGGACCTAAACCCTGCATCTGTGATTATTCTGGACTGGACCCCCTTTGGACTGTGTCTTAACATGCTGGGAGGTCAAAGTGATGCTCTGCTACTTGGCTTGATGGTTTGGATGGGAATCCTGTGGGGAGAGATCACAACCCAAGGTAATGTTCATTACTGCTCTGATTCATTCAGATGCCCTTGTGTCTTTGATGGACTGACACTGCTGTTTAACATAAAGCCCCCCCCCCCCTGTAAACTTTACCACCGCACTTTTATTTCAATTACGCACAGCTTGTTTAATAAAGGACTCGTTGCAGCACAAGTTTAGTCACCCTTATGCGACGTGTGGGGCTTACGGACAAGATCATACAGTATGTGAGACAAATGCCGGGTTTGATCAGTTTGGATCGTGCATGCGCTGCCAGAATTGTTTTCAAGACAAAAGTGGGGCAGAAACATTGGAAGAAACGCGCGTATGTGTGGATCTGGTGCATAATAACGCGCGTGGACAAAGAAACGCTGCGGGATTCCAAATCAATGTCGTTTATATTGTATCACACGTGTAGATGTAATGCACAAACATCGCGCTTAACATTGTAAATCACACTCAAGATTGTCAGAAGCACCCTTAAGACTTGCGCTTTAACTGCATTGATATGAAAACGCATTTGTTTGTTGTTGGCTATATATTGTGTGCGCGTGGTTCTACATTCATACAGTAAGCAGCTGAGTTTGTGTGTGCAAGATTGGTTTTGAAATAAATGATTCCTTTGTAAAGCATGTGGACTTGCATCAGACACGAGCAGTTTGATTTCAGTAAGTGTCACCTCCCCAAAACAGGAGCACTCACTCACCCTCCCTGACCTGGTGTAATAAATGCAATGCTGTTGCATTATTCATGCAGATGCGCGAACAAGAAGTCAAACGACTGTGTTGGTTCTTCATCCACCCGCGTTTTTCCTTCCCCGAGCAGCTCTTTAATCACTTACTGTGTAAATTTAGCTCAGTTCCAAGCGCGTGGGCAACTCATCTTTAATCGGGACATGCGCGAGTGCATGTGGCTCCATAACACAGTTCTGTCTTCTAGTAAAAAATTATGTTTATTTTTCCTCAGTGATGTGCGCTGATCCTAGGAAATGAGAAGTAAAAGACCCCACTCTGTGTTTGGATTATTTTTGTCCAATGTAAATTCATGTTCCAGCACCGTTTCCAGGTTGAAGGAACAGTATTTCTCTTTTAACTAATAAACAATAACGTACTTGGCTATATATATATATATATATATATATATATATATATATATATATATATATATACATATATACATATATATATATATATATATTTTAAGTTCAGTAAAGTACAAGTTTGATAAAAATCATTAAAGAAGAAAATTTCAAATGGCATTTAGAGGCTTTTGCATCTGAACTCTTCATATATATATATATTATATATATATATATATATATATATATATATATATATTATGTAGTCTAAACAATAGGGTATTACAGTATTACAATCAAGTCATGTGCTGTCATGTGCTCAAAAACTATTGCTTTCTACAATAATATGGTAATGAATATTTGATACTTTATTACTACAAACTGATGTTTGTGTTGTAGCCTATTAGTCGTGATTGGGTCTGTCTTTGTGAAGAAAAAAACGCATTAACTGAGCAGAGTCTCAAGAGAAGCCAGTTTATTGATATAAAAAATCGGGTACATTTAGCAATATAGCGGTTGAATTATGTTGATGTATATTATGATGTTATGATGAACTATATGCCTTTCTCCACTGATGTTCTGTTGGTCAACGTGTTTCTGGACACTGATGTTTAGAAGGCAGCTGTGTGACTGAGATGGTGAACGGGAACATGGTTTGTGTAACATTAATAGCAACACATTATTAGCTGTTTGACAACGTAGTCAAACAAAAGGCTAATCATATTGCCGTTATGTGTCGATGTTGTAAAGAATGATACATAAAATGCATTTTTCTGATACATCGACTTGTAACCTGTATAATACACTTCTGAATTAGTTCTGGTTCAAACATATATGGCTGAATTAAACCAGTATTTCCACTTGCCAATTGTGACCGAGTGGATCAGGTAGTCTGAACTTGTGTGACTGAGTGGGGGCGGGGCTAATTGGCATATTTAGGGAGCTGCATATAATAAATGAATCAAGGGAGTTACAGTCAAGCTATTTTAAGGCATGAATAAAAAATTTCCCACAAGAAAAAAAAACATTTAAGTATGTAATTTTGGTAATTAAAGATGAGTTTTAAGGGATACAATGATTGAGTGCATGTATTCTCTGTTCAGAATATGATGTATAAAGAAATAAAATGGCAATAGCAAGTGTATTTCAATTCTCGATTTCCACATTTGAATTGGCTTCTGTTGCACTTAAAGTCAAGTTGGCCATTTCAAATTGAGTTGAATTGAATTGAACACTGCCAAAGGACATTCAAAATGATTGTCTAGAAATCGGCAGCATCTGTGTTAATTACGTATTATAGAAATCAGATTTGTACTGAACCCAGCACAGTAGCCTATTAGATTACAAAAGTTATCAAATCCCTCGTGTTCACTTTGGATCAGGTCCCTTAAATTAATAATAATAGAGTTCTCATTGTTTTGGCACACTGCACTGTTGAAGGGAATGAGATATAGTTACACTCTATGTGTCTTTATTTACTGCTGGTGATATAATAGTCAGAGCTCTTCCATATACAAAACACATTAAATATAAAGAGTATTCTTTACCACTGAATCATACCTAAAATTAAAAAAAAAAAATAATTTACCCATTTGCTCTCCATCATTGTCTTTAATTCGTACAGGAATTGTTCTGGTTTCTCTCTTCCATGCAGTTACAATGAACAGGGAGCTTCGATGCTTCCAAAGCAAGCAACATAAAAGTAGTCCATATGTTTTGCTTCCACACAAGGAATGACTTCGGGGTGAGCAAATGCGTGACATTACTCATTGTTGAGTGAAATATTCCTTTAACAGCATTGCTTACCGATTTGTGAACAACCACAGAACTATTATCGCCTGCACATTTTTAAGCAAATTCACAGTAGTTCTCCGAAAAAGTAAGACGAACTGTTCTGGCGGTGCTGTCAGTGTTATTTCCACGGGGCCAGGACTCTCTAGGTGACAGACTGTCTGTTCTGCACCTTCTGAAACTCACTCATCTCGAATTTGTCCTTCTCTTCCCATCACATCACTTCCTGTCTTTCTCTTCAGCTCTGCTGATACACTAAGGCAAATCAGAATAGAAAGGGGAAGAATGTCCTACAGGAAATGTCTGATAGGGACTTAAACAAGTGTGTGAGATGTGCACCTAGAGGAACAAAGGCTAAAAATGTGTGTGTTTGTCTGTGGCAGTGTCCTGTGCTGGGTTTTTATGGTGTGGGAAACCTGAGCGTTGGGTCATTCTACAAAACAGGCCTTTTTACTCATTGATATGGAAATAAACGGTTTCGCAGACCAGGCTCGAGCTAGTCTCAGACTAAAATGCAAGTTTGAGCTGTTTTAGAGCAACTTGCACTGATATATCTATAAAAAAAGTGCCGTTGTTTTGTCTCAAGATTCACACCAGTAATGGTTTTTTTTCTAAGGCATGTTTATAAAAGCTACTTAAATGTCCTAATTGAACTAAGGTCTAATCCTGACTTAAAGGGGTGATGAACTGAGAAATCAAATTTAAATTTTTAATAACAGTAAAGAACGGTGCTGTGCCGTCTATAGTGGATCTGACAGGAATTGTGCAACACACGGACTCTGGGTCGAACATGTATGGGCGAATCATTCCGGTTGCCATTTTACAACATTGGACGTTTTCAAAACAATTTCCCCCAAGTGCATCGACGAGTTGAAACTCATTATAATATGCAAAACTGTTATGCACTCCCAGCAGTGGGCGTTTACTTCCAAGTCTTCGGAGACGTCCATAAAAACCGAGCGTTTTTGAGCTAGGCTCAAAACTAGGGTAGAAAATAGCCTATTACTTATTCATTTTGATGTTTTTGAATGCAAAAACCAAGCGAACATCATAAGTTGACCTCAGACAACAATATAATAAAATTTAAAAAGCCAGTTCATGACCCCTTTAATCTAAACCCAGTGAAACCTGCGTCTGAAATTGCGTACTATGTGAGTAGGTACTATATTTAAATAACGGCCCTTTACCCAGATAGCAAACTGACATTGAATCAATGTGGAAACATGACATCGGAACAACGTTGATCTGACATTGTTTTGCTCATCGAATTAACGTTGAACCAACGTCAGACGCGTCATTCTTTCAAAGCTAATGGAAAATCAACTTGAAATCAACGTTGTTTCAACGTTATGAAAGCAAACCAATTTCCGATTTTCATTTAGCTTTGAAGAATGCCGCGTCTGACGTTGGTTCAACGTTAATTCGATGAGCAAAACAATGCCAGATCAAAGTTGTTTCAATGTCATGAGAGACGTCGTTTCCACGTTGATTCAATGTCAGTTTGCTGTCTGGGTATACAGCTCCGATACGACTCCGAAACGATCGGAAGTCATTCATTTCCTATGGAGATTCGCAGACCACATGCGAATGGAAGTTAAAAAATGACATGACAACTTATCGTTATAAAATCTTTATTTATTTTATTAAAAGTTAAGAATTCAGGTTTGTTTATCAGTACCATAGCAACGCTAACTTCCGCTGGAATTGTCGGATAGGAACCGTCCGTAGCTTTTCACAAGAGTTCAATTTTTTGAAAGCATCCGGATGACCAACGGACACGATTTTCTTCGCTCCGCACTCGGTCGGACCCGTTTCGGGGCCCATTCGCATGCGATATGCGAATCTCCATAGGAAATGAATGACTTCCGGTCGTTTTGGAGTCGAATTGGAGCTGATTTCAACTGCCGGCGTGAAGGCGGCGTAAGAACATACTTAATGACTGTTAAAAAAGTATGTTCTACATAGTATGAATGATTTTGGACGTACTACATGCGCCATGTTGTTGTCGCGGGATATACACTGTAACAACAGTGCGAAAATTTAAAGAGCCCATTCCACTGACTGGACCAACTTCGCGCTTTTAGTTCTGCTTTCTGTTTTCATCTGCGTTTTGTACGTCGTCCGAGCCGACAATCAAGGGTAGG